AAATAAAATACATCAATTAAGAAATTTTAATGGCAAAATGAGAGCTTTCTGGGTAATTGCTAGTAGTTTGATGGAAGGTAAGGATGAGTAATAATGAGAAAAGAGCAAAAAACCTGAAAAATTAAGGATTATATGAGACACTTAATGATGTTAAAAATTATTCTAGAGAAGGAGGAGGGGCTATAGTAGAAGAGATTGTTCTGTGATGTTTCCCCTCCATGTGAAGTGATATTGTTTATAATAGATTAGAAAGCATACTGAATATTCAAAATAAAGTACATAAATCAATAATCTCAGGGTTGAGGTGATGTTAAGGGTTTTTGAGCAAGAATGAAGAATATTTCATTAAACTGACCATGTAAAAAATGTTATCTTGCTCTCCAAAGAGTGCGAGTTTGGGGGCAATGGCCAGGTTGCCGATGAAGTGGTCTTGAATTTGATAGTGCCATAGGGAACGGAAAAAGAAAAGCAAATGGGAGAGATTGATTTTAAAACACATGGTGGACTCATAGAAACAACAGACTGACAGCTGTCAGAGGGGAAGGAGGGTTGGGAGACTGGACGAAAGAGGTGAATGGATTAAGAAAAAACCCTCATAGAAAACCATGTGATGACAACTGGTGGGAAAGGGGGTGGGGGAGGTAGAAGAGGGTAAAAGAGGGAATGAATGGTGACAGAAGGAGACTTTCGGTCGTGAGCACACCATTCAATATACAGATGACGTGTCATAGAATGGTACACGTGGAATCTATATAATTTTATTGATGAATTTTACCCCAATGAATTCAGTAAAAAATTCACACATGTTGATTAGAGGTTCATTATATTTTATTATAAAAGTGTTTATTTTAAATAAACAAGTACAGAGAATAATTATCAAAAATATGCAGATCAAGTAATCAACTTCGCATAGTATCTTGTTAAATTATTATAACATCCCTGTGAGGAATACTATTATTTTATGATAATGGTAGAAAAATGAATTTAAATTTAAGTAGATTAAGCAACAAGCCAGAGTCAAGTGTTAATAAATAATAGTCAAGTCTCAAATCCAGTCTGGCTGGCTCCACATTCCCTTGTAAAGCAACACCACACTGTTTGTCAAAAGTAGGTTAATGATTATGAGATTAATCATTTAATACTAGATGATGAATAAAAGCATGGTAAATATAATGATAACAAAATTCAATACAGAGTCTTGATGTTCAAAGATAATCCCTCTGAAAATAAATAATATGAATTTGTATAATGTATACATGATTTGTATTAAACAATATGAATTTATTTAATGAGAAAAAAATAAATTATTTTAATAAAATGTTAATAATGGTTCAAATTATTGAGTACAATAATGCCTACATTTTTTTACAGTTGCTACATAAGTTAGGCATTATTTTAAGCGCTCTAATCTTCATGTAGTCCTTGCAATAAACACATACATTCTGATATTATTGCTTTTACAGATGACAAAAGGCACAAAGTGTTTAGTTAAGTAGTTCAAGCTTACACAGGGAGAAGGTGGCAGATTCCAGATTGGGGCCTGGGACATAGAGATACACTAGATCCTGTTACTTTCTGAAGTTTTGGCAATGTTTTTCTTATCAGTAAATTCAGAAATTACTTTCTTCCTTTTAGATGTTGAAAGAACCAAGAATGTAGTGAATTAGGAGTAAATTCACTCTTTAATGCTCCTGCAGAAGGAAAACCACATTATTTCATCATCTCTTAGATTATTAGTGGACTTGGTCCATGAATGCAAGGATCAGGTTGATTATAAGCTGAATATATGTTATATAGCTTTATGTACTTTAAAACAACCCAAAGATGATATGGACAAAATTGAAAATTTATTTTTAATACAAAGCAGGAGAAATTAAAGGTGGAACAAACAGACATGTTGGAGTTAAGTTAGATTCCCAGCACAGTACTTTACTAACCATTCTATATTTATACAGCAGATTTCCTATTTCATCTAGTTGAAAGGAAATATAAATATTGAAATATAAATATTGTACCAAAATATATATTATATAGAAAATATAAGAAACCACTTAAGCTTAAGATTCAGAACTTTCCAAAATTAAGCATACATATAACATAAGTATTATCACACTTAACTTTAGATGTCCAATTCTTTTCATTCTAACCCTTTTATGAAAATAATTTTTTTAAGGATTTTATTTATTTACTTTTAGAAAGAGGGAAAGGGAAGTAGAAAGAGAGGGGGAGAAACATCGATGTGCCCAAGATGCATGGATCGGGCTGCCTGTAACTCGCCCCCTAGCTGGAGACCTGGCCTGCATTGAAAGCCAGGCATGGGAATCGAACCAGCGGCCTGTCTGTGCACTGGCTATCACTCAGTCCACTGAGTCACACCAGCCATGGCTATGAAAATAATGTTTAAGATTAATATTGAACTGTGAATTATGTTTATGCTAGAATTTTTTAACTTCCATGAGTTAGTCAGTTGCATTAGATGTTTCCATAGCAACTCCATGGCGGCTACTTAAGAACACTTCTTCCAACAGGCTTTTGACAAAATATATGGACAAGTCACTGTGTGAGATTTAATAAAGACGGGCCCTCTGAGAAAATGTTATGCTTTAAAGCCACGTGTCCCTTATACATGCTAATATTTCCAGCTCTCTGAATGTTAGAGAGTCCCGCCTCCACTTGATTTCTGCCACCACTGCTCCCGTGTTCCTTAGGCCTCTTCAGGTCTGGAAATTCTCTCGCTGCCAAGATCTCAGAATCTGAAGCTCCATTTTCTGGTGACCAACCTGTCTTAGCATGTCTCGCATTTCTTAACCCCTGTTGATCTTGAGCCTTACTTTATTATCAGTTATCATTCTTGAACCTTGTGCTACTTTGCAGCCCAACACTGCTGTTCTGGCATTGGAGGGGCATCATTTTTTGCTACTTGAGACACCACATTCTTATGACTTCCGGCCATTCCTGCCTAGTACCGTCTCAGTTTTGAATTTCGAACTTAATTCTGCCTTTGTCTGTTCCTAGATAGGTAGAATGCTGCAAAGCCACATTAATTGGAGCCAGTCTATCAGTCACTACATAGTGAATGCCTAAATCAGAGACACTTTTCACCTTTGAAAATGAAAGAGAATATTCCAAGACTAGTATAAACAGCTCTGTCTCAAAGAAACCAGAGTGTGTCATCATCCCGGCAAAAGGAGACCATTTTCTCATCAGAATCAGCCTTTAGTGATGCTTACATTTCTCATATGTATTTTTTTTTATTTTTAGTCAGTTCCCTGTTAGACATTTCCAGTGTCAGTTTTAAGTCGGAGCCTCAAGAAATGAATCCCTCCTTCCCATCCCCAGTTCAATGCACCAGAATCTACTGCCTCCTTGTTTGACGAGAGATTTGAGACTGCCCACATAAAATTTTCTCCATTTAATAGTCATTTCTTTGTCTTACTTAAAAGTCTTTTAATTCTTACTGAAAAGTGTTTTATACTACTCGGTTGACTTTTTTTTTAGGGGGTTCAGGACTGGAGCCAGTATAATCACTAAGCTTTCCTCTTACTCTGCTGATCGCAGCTGCCCAGAATGTATAAGATATTTCTTTCCAACCCACAGGCCAAGTCATTATCTGAAGGTTTCTCCTTGTTTCTATACACATCTTACCACATGGCATTTGCTCATCCATCATGATAGATTCAAACATGCGTTAAGTATTTGTCATCGCCAACCTACTTTGTACAGATGTGATGGTTTGTGAATAAATACCTGACTTTTTCAATGATACCTCAACGTTAGAGAGCCCAAAACTGAATTTATTTTTGTTACGGAGTCTGTAAGTTTCAGGATTCCCGTGTAATAACCACTGTATTTCCGTCTTCGGTCGTGGTGGCGCACTCGTGGATTCATTGGGAATGCTCCCTTTTCCGGCATCTCCCAGTACAGTCAGTCACCGGGTCCTGGAGACTGTGTTCCCCCCACGCTGCTCACACCTCTTGCCAAGTTGTGCGTTATTCACTGATACTCTGTCACTGAGCCCCACGGAGTATTACTACCAGATTAACCTTAAAGCTGAAACATCCGATAATTTGAGCTGTTCAAGAACTTTTTATGTTTCTTATCCTGGAGGCTGAAGTGGGTACGGGCTCCTTAGCTTTGCATTTAAGGTCTTCCTTTCCTCTGGCCTTAAAACATAATCCCCCTTGTTTTCTTTCACCATCTTTCGTGCATCATCCAGACTGGGCGGCTTTGTTACTTCCTCTGTGTTGCCAGGATGTTCACTGTGTTCCTCCCTGTATGGGCATCTCCTTTTAAAATTCCGTATTCTTAAGGCCTTTATTGTAGTCAGCCTCTTCCATGAGACATTGTACACTCCATTGCCTGACTTGAAATCTCTTTTGTAAAAATTCCTATTAGCATGCCGTTCTTACTTTTTTATTTATTTTACTCTGTTACATAAACATTATCTATGTACTTGTTTTACCCTCAAAGTGTTATTTTGTAAAGGAGAGGACATATGCTTTTCTCATTGTTTGAATACTCAAACACCATGCTTACTTATGTTAGTCAGTCATTAATTACCTATTGAAATTATAGACATGTGACTGTTTGAATCTTATAGAAATATGTGTTTATAAGTATAGTGTAAAAATGTTATTAGAGCTCTGCAAATAAAGTTCTTCCCACAGTTAGGTAGCGAGTATCATTATACCTAATAGATAGTTAAACTGGCTGATGCATGAAGAAATTACAGGATTTATTCACGATAAATCCTAGCCTTTGACAGAGCTGGGAGAAGATACCAAGTCCTTTATATTCCTCTTATCCTGTTCATTTTAAACAGAGCCCTCTATATGCATGCAAATTGCTGCACTCATTCATTAAGTAGATTCAATCTCTCATTTTCCTTAAATCATCACTGACTTGAGCTTACTGTTTTCTCAATTTAGGCCTAAGAAAATTATGGCCAGTTATTCATTCTCCAATCAACCTAAAAGTGAACTATATTTCATTGCTTGTAGGATGGTATGGGAAATCTGAGAGTCACCAAGAAGGGAATCCGACTTGAAGGTATATCTGAGTTTCTACTTCCATTGTATGTGAAAGAAATTCATTCCCGAAAGGTATGTGATACTGGCTTTGGCTTAACTGTAAAAGATAATTTCGAGGTTATGTTTTAGCTTGAAATAGGAGGATAGAACCCCGATATCTCTTCAGTATGTATTTAAGTTTCCTTAAGCTAAAGACTCACTCAAAGAAATCAAAGCAATAAAACAACAGAAAAACTAGTGGAGGTTAGTTTTAAACTAACAGATTGGAGAATCGTTTTGAATTAAACTGCAGTGTTGTATTTGTTAGTCTATAAAATGTGCCCCTCTGTTTTCAATGGAAGGTAAAAATACACACTTATATCAATTCCAAAAGGGGCACTTGGTATATCTTGAGTAATGTTTGCTGGAAGCATTGACTGGAATAAATGATTTAAGTTTAACATATTATAAATCTTTTTAGTTTTAATGGACATGCATTTTCTAAAACATTACAATGAGTTGCAGTATAGAAATTAAATTGATTTATAAATGTACGTTATTTAAACCAAGGAAGAATACTACCCTTTCAACTGTGTGTGTGCTTCCTGTGCTGTGTCACTCAGCAGCATGTTAAAATTCAAAAGGTTATAACTTAGACAATGTTTATTTTGGCTGAAATGTGTTACCTCTCCAAAGGTAGTAAGTATTCTTGAGTATGTAAAAATCAAACTAGAATATTTCCAATCTAGTAGGCATTCCCCTGGGGTATGTGTATAGGTGTGGAAGTAAATTTATTCAGACAGAAAAACTAGAAATTGTGTTATGTAAAATGTGGGAAGTTTGCTAACCTTATTTCGTAAATATGAAAGTCCTTTTTAAACTAGAATTATGTTTCAATATCACTGATATAATAATATCTTAGCAAATGAGTTACATAGTAAGACATAATTTGATAATTTAATTCAAAGCCCTTTTTCCCTTAAATATCAAACTGAAAACAGAATAGAATTCTTTTCATATGAAATTTTAATTAGGATAATTATATTAACTTTAAATTTCATTTTGTTTTATGAGAACCTGCACAGTTTTATTAATATACTATATTGACTGCTCCTCTGGGTACTAGAAATTCTGTACTGAGATTTCCTTGCTTTCTGGATTTTGGTCAGACAGATAACACAGTAGACACATGCATGATACCTAACCTTACCTGGTTAACTATACAAATAATTAAGCTCAAAGTTTAAACATTGGTTGGCTTTTTGTTTTATTTTTGTAAAAATTGCAAAATAGTCTACTGCCACATTAGTCTCCCCTCTGATTGAAAGTCGCCTCTGCTCAGTTATTTTCTGACTTCTTGTTGTGTTGGGCACTGTTAAACAACTTAATATTTGAAGAAAGGCAAACTTGTACATGGAAATCAAGACATTACTTAGCATGGCAAGAAGGGGAGAGTAATCACAGGCAGGAACTTCTTTGAAAAGGCATCCCTTTAAACCAAACTGTAGTGGCCGCCTGGGAATACAATGTAGGGAAAGACAGAATTCACCCCGCAGCTGGAACAGTTTTGAGAGCACAACCATGACTGTGAACTAGGATTCTCCTAGGAAAACTGAATGCATGTTTACTCCATCTATTGACCTAATAAGAAAGAATCCACTGATTTTATAATGTTAAAGTGTGAGATGGTGACAGTCGGGCTTATTAACATTCGTCCCAGGAAAGTTTGCAGCCTCAGTTCACCAGCACTTCTAAAACCCACTGCATTACTGAAATCTCTATGCAGTGCTTTCCCATCTCCAGCCCTGCTGCTTGTCCTCCCCACGTGGCCGCCCATCACCATGTGCCTCTAGGTAGCTGTGCAGCATATGGCTCAGCACATCTGAAGTCAGGCAGGGGTGTGGCTTGAGACTAGAAAAGGAAGGAGACCCATTTACTTGTTGAAAATTCTCTGCACACATGCTACAAAAATAAATAGTTGAAATAAATAGAAAAATGTACGTCCCATCAGCAGCCCCCACATTAGGATCATGAATGGGTGCTGTCAGGCATGCTCTGTCCTAAAGCCTCTTAACTATTTAACAAGCCAGCTACAGTTTCCCTGAACCTTAGTTTTCTCATGAATAAAGTGAGTTTGGTGGAAACTTATCATATCCTTAGTTCTTAGGTTAAGAAAGAATATGAAGAAATTCAGCAGTACTAGTAGACATGAGATGTACATTTTAAAAATTCTGTTGTACATGTCAGTCTCTTCACACATTTTTATGAATTCAAATATTTGTATGATAAAACATCAAAGTTCCTCTAAATCTAAGATAAGGAAATTTATTAAATTTTAAAGCTACTTACAGAGATTCAATGAAAGCTAAGAAGACTACTACTATGTACAGCAATTTGGATGTGTACAGATATTTTTCCCAGCAATTTTGATGTGTGTATGTGTGCGTGTGCATGAGTTTGTGCATTTTCTTGCACTAAGTCTAATGGGTTTTCTTCTTCATGTTTAGCCAGTATTCCATTCCGTAGTAATTTTTTTTCTTATTTCACGTTACCTTCTGGTTATGCAGGAATTTAATCCTACACATGGAAATGTAATGGAAAGATTTCTATTTGTCAGAAAGACACACATTTCTGGTCTCTTAACCTAATAAACCAGGGGCTGTCCCTACGTTCTGCAGGCTGACTGGCCCCTCTCCCACCACTCAACTTCTATAGATACTTGAAGTTCTGTTATTATCTATCAGAGTTTACTCTCTTCTTCATCTTTAAAAAAAATCTAATTTATCTAAGTGATCCATCTTATCAGTACATGGAAAAACTTGGGGTGTATTTGAAATATCTTAGAATTCAAAGCACCTTTCAAATGTAACACATTGTTTTCTGGGAGTAAGCACGCAGTAAACATTTGTGAAATTAAATATCCAGTTTTGGTCAGAGAGGAAGTATATTGAAGGATATGGAATTTGGAGCTACCTTAAATAAAAGCATTCTAAATCAGTCTTCAGTGCACACTGAAGATTGGTCTAACATTAGGCCAATACTTTTGAAACAGCAGGAAATGAGGACATGCTAATCCCCATGCTTTTTTGTTTTCGGTGTAACGTGAATATGTTTCCCAAGGTTTCAGGAGTCCAGAGTACAAGGGAGGTTAGGTTAGCCACAGTTCACTGATTCTTACCAGAAGCTCTGCATCACACAGGTCTCTAGGACTTCTTTACCATTACTTAACTTCATCTGATATCAAGCAGCGTTCTTGTTTACTTTTACTGTTCACGAATCCTTCGTTACAGCGGTGACTCACCACTGCCCCCTGATCCCAACATCCTGCATGACAGATTGATAATTGTGCCAGGAAATTACTACCAGCTAATTCCAACTTCAGTAACACCCCAGCAAATCAAAGACGTTTGTCTTCTTTATGATGCCTGCATTGGCAGGGCTGAGTGAGGCTCTGCTCTCGCCGTCATGCGCAGTCACTTTGCCTGGCGTCAGAGCTGGGGTGCTCCCTCACTTCTCGGTTACAACAGCTTATTCCTGTGTGTGATCAGTGCTTCTTCATCGAGTTCAGACACAAACCCACGGGGTCAGGCAAGCTCAGCAAACCTCTTTCCTGGTTCCGCACCATTCTGATCACTTGACCCTGTCTTTTTCAGGTGCATTTCTCCCTTATAAATCCCTTTGCAGGTTTATCCCTCCCACATAAACAAATTCATACCAAGAGATATCTGCAGGCTTCTATAATCATCTCATCGTTATCATTATTGTGTTGCATTTAGATGTTTAATACAACTGAAACTGACTGTTTTAGTGTAATGTCTTTATTCAAGTTAAAAACTAAGCCCTGGCTGGCGTAGCTCAGTGGATTGAGCACAGGCTGCGAACCAAAGTGTCGCAGGTTCAATTCCCAGTCAGGCCACATACTTGGGTTGCAGGCCACGGCCCCCAGCAACCTCACATTAATGTTTTTCTCTCTCTTTCTCCCTCCCTTCCCTCTGTAAAAATAAATAAATATTCATATGCATTAAAAAAAACTAAAAATTATTCCAAAATCTTTACACTCAGGTTAAAAAACAACAACTATTAACACACATGGAATATCATCACAATCTCATGTTTGTTTATACATCTGCACAAACAGAAAGATAGTTATGTAGAGAGGCATATACATGCTGTTTACAATAATATACTAATTTACTAAAAGAAATATAACCTGAAATAAATTAAAACGGATCACTGAACTTAAATACATTTCCTTCACAACAAGAACTCTTTAAAGCTTGTCTGTAGGTTAAGAACAGGAGTTCGCAAACATCAGGAAGAAGCTGGATGCCTTCGCCCCTGGCGTCACTTCCAGACAGTGCTCATTAACGCCCCGCAGTGCAATTTGAGGTGATGAGCCTCTCTCCCATTTGTCCTCCCCCTTCTTCATGTTCAATTTGGGGACAATTATATTAGTTTAACTTTGCCAGTGTTCATAGTGATCGCATTCTGCTCTGCCGCACTCATCGCCTGGGCACGTGGATCGCAGTTCCTTGTATAGGTGCTGCCGTATTCACCGCCAGTATTATATTCAGGCTTCTGGATGGCTGAGTTTATTCTTCAGGGGTTCCTCCTTACTTGTCTTTCCCTGTTAATTAGGGTTTTTTTGTTTGTCTTCTTGCTTGCTTGTTTGTTAATTGTTGAAATATTTCATGCTCCGTATGTCTATTTTTTTCTGGGAATATTATGAACGTTTCATCCCTTCTTTTCCTGTTAACTCACTGTTCTGTTAATTCTAGCACTAAAATATTGCCATAAAATGTCTGAAGGCAGCCTGACACTGTCCTCTTGATGACATGAATGTTGTGTCCGGATGTCTGGTACATGTCTTTACCCTTTCACTTGTTCACTTCAAGGAAAATTTCTCTATTGTATCTCTCAACATCTTTCATTTCCATTTGTTGAGTCTTTACCTCTGAGAAAGCAGTAATTCTTATGTTGGACCATAATTTATCCAATTATTTCAAATTCTGTATTTTTCCCCTGAAAAAAAGTGTCATTTCTAGAATGCCCTTTTGAGTCTCAGAATTTTCCTTAGGTCCACAGTCTCCTTT